CTGGTCACCAGCACTTTTTCTGGTCGTAGCCCCATTCCATCCTTTCCCAAGGATTTGGCGATAAAGAAGGAGTGCAGAGAAAGGAAAGCAAAGGAGACACGTGCGCCGATGACACATTCGCAAAAAAAAACTCTGGTCTGCTTTGTGTATGTCCTCGTCTGGCCTCCATCTGGAGCGGAGATGAATGGAAACGCTGAAAAAAGGAGAACGTTTTTTTTTTTTTCTCTCTCTCTCTCTTCATCTCTTCAGTGGGGGAAGAAATGCACAGGGTGAAGCCTTAGACTAGGACATTCTACACTCCATCTCTAGACATTAGTTAGTAGACTCTGACAGTCGCCACATCGTTGTTCCCCCCTCCTTTGGGCCCATGCACACTGCGTGGAGCCGCGTTGTGACCACTGCGACGGTCGCAGTTCGTTGCAATCGATCGCATCGGAGCTGCGTGGGGCCTTCGCATTCGGTCACAGTACGCTTCGCAACGGAATCGGAGTCGTCGGTTTCTGTCGCATTCAAGCAGTGCGTTCGAGCTGCGTATCTATTGATTGCAAGTTATGGAGTCCTGAGATAATATTTTGGCGGCTCTTTTGGTGGAATGACTTGCGCAGTAGATATCATGCCAATCATCACCATTGAATCCCCATGAGCGAGATACCTCAATATATTAAATAAATCTTCAAGAGAGGTCTCGATGTCATTCGTATTCTTGATTATTTTCCATCATTGCTATCCATGGATTTTAATTTTAATTTTTTAAGTCGAGAAGCATCTTCTTTGAGTGCATAAGCCTGACTCATGCTCTCATTTAAGAGATTGCTGCATGATTTATTATTATTTGAGATATATGGAATACTTGTACTGAGTATGTACGAGGGGTGTTTGAAAAGTAATGCCCGTTTAGTTAAGTGTCTTATAAGTAGGGCTATTTTAATGATATTTGGTATATATTTTCTCCCAACATTCCTATACACACCTACGTTATAACTTTTCTTTATCTCATTCAGGAGCAGTGGCGTAGCGTGGTTGGCATGAGCACTGGTGCAAGGAATGAAACAGGGCCCGCTGTCCAATTTCTTACTATTGAGTTATGTGGGAGTCATATATTTTTTTGCTAGTTTTCTGCGGCAGCATATACAGGGTGTCCACGAAGTCCTTGATACATTACGAATTTGAATAAATAAAAAATTATGATAGATACGACAATCCGTTTTTTGCATAAGATAGAACGCCTCGAAGAGTTTGTGTTTAATTCATTCTTTTCTTTTGCTTCATTTTTGGGAGGGTAAAACAGCGCTTGACAGAAAATGGTGAATCCACAAGAAAAAGCCCAATGTGTTTACTGGTTTGCGAAATCGAAGTCTCGTGTTACCGTGCAGCGTAATTACCGTCGAGTGTACCAGAAAGTGTACTGTGAACTCAAGAAAAAAAACTAGCGACAAATTTTTGGAAACCGGCACAGTTTTGGACGGGAAGCGTGCAGGACAGCCTTCAGTGTCAGATAAAAAGGTGGCTCGGATTCAGCAAGCGTTTCTCTTGGTGCACGCTAATGGTGCACACGTCGAAGTTGTGCGTTAACTGGTAGAAATTCTTTGAGTTACTCTTTCTGATAATAAAAAAAAGGATTGTCATATGTATCACACTTTTTGAGGTATTACAATTTTTACTGTTTTATCAAGGACTTCGTGGACACCCTGTATACCTTTTCTAGGTGATTCTCAGGCATACCTGCCATTCAAGCAACCTGCATGCCGGAAGAAGCACGCGGGGGTTCATGAAGGAATGGAGAACAGGACGAGGAGGAGCGAGTGTAAGCGAGTTGTGTCCCCGTTTCACCTATAGTCTAGACAGAAACCGAGAGAGACTACGAGGCCAAGTCATAACCCGAGGATAAGTAAAAATCCAGACGGCAGAAGACCTGAAAGCGAAATGCCTTCATTCATGAATTGGATTTCCGGCCGACGCCGTATTGACGTATTGAAAAGAATGCTTGTCTGCATGTGACATCCGTATTCACATTGCGAATTGAGTCATCACAGATGTTTTTCATTTGGCATCGATGTCTCATAAGAGTCATCCCTGCTACGGCTGCCAACTGAGGGTTAGCAACTGGGGCTTGCAACGCACCGATCCGTCTCTTCTACTTTGAAGGGCGAGAACTCGTGAATTCGGTGGAATTTAACCAGGGACTGCAGGGGGGGAATGAATGGAGTGGGTTGCGTATCGAGGAATGTGCACTTGAACATTGCCCAACACGAAAATGAATTCATTGTTTGGTCCGATGATGGCACTAAGTTCATCCAAGAATCCAGCAAACGCAACTCGTGTGAGACCTGACTCCAGTGTCTGGTGATGCAAAGTTCCATGAGAAGGGACGAGCCTTAACCTGACGAGCCGACAAACCTAAATTTTTCCATTCAGTCTTGCATTAATGAGCAATGAGCTTCACACCTCTTTCTCGCAGTTGCACCATCGTGAATGAATCAAGAATAGAATCGAAACTGCTTGTGATAACTGACGCCAGACAAAAGAAGAAAACAACAGAAAACAGAAGCTCCAAGACAGGCCAGAAAGTCGACAGTTGGAGCTGTTCTGCTCTCCCTCAGCTCATCGGCTGGCCCGCCTGCTCTCCTTATTTCCATCACCCCAGCGAATCCTTTGGGGGATTAGCGTCATTTCAGGAAGGCCTGAGAATCACCTGAAAAAGGTATAAATCGTCGTCGGTAGCTGAAGTCAGGGTGGAAGGCAGTGGCGGATACGATACAGAAATTTTCCATAGGGTGGGGGGGCCTGTTTCCTAGTTTCCAGCCTACCCCACCCCCCTCCCCCCTCATCTACCACCACCCTCCGTCCTTATTCATTTTTCGTCTGGAGTAAAAATCCTGAATATCCATTTCACAGGAGCTAATTAACATTCGTGTATGTGCTTTCTATATAATAAAAAAAATAGACTGCGAACATGTTCAGAGTAGGGGTAGTCGGCCCCCCTCCCCCTCTCCTGGATCCGTCACTAGTGAAACGCAGGGCCGGATCAAAAAGTTGCGAGGCCAGGGGCAAGTGAATTCTTGGTCCGTCCCCCCCCCCCCCCCCTTAATCCCCCTTAATAAGAAATATAGTGTCAATTGTCGCACTCATTTCTAGTCTCCTAAATAATTATAGCAGATGCGTATGAAGGAATGCTGGGAGAAAATATATACCAAATACCATTAAAATAACCCAACTTATAGGGCAGTTATAACTAGGGCTGTCACGATAGATCGATACCTCTATCGATGGTTGGGGTCGCGATGGTCGTTTTTTTCGACCATTGCGATGAATCGGCAAAAGATTTTAAAGGGGAAGTGTCCCATTTGATTGAGGCGAGTACAATACAGTCCGTCCGGGCGGGGAAAGGAAGAGGTGGCGTGACCCACATGGGCTTGCATTTTCTTATCACGATCAAATTCTGGAAATGGGACTATGTGAAAGACGGGAAGGAAAAAAAAAAAAACATGTCGGTTCGGAAACAGGAAGTGGGAAAGGAGAGGGAGGGAGGACAGAGAATATATTTTTTCTCTTCTGTTTCAGCTCGATCTCATGAGGTGCATGCTGTGAAAGTGGACTGTTCTTATACCCCTTGATTTCGAAACGTACATTTGTTAATCCCCTTTCTGTATTTCTCTTTAGTATGCAGGCTTAACTTCCTCAATTGTTAACTTGCCCTGGGGAATTTTATCTCTTTACTTAAGGTGAACTCAAAGTGAAATTTTTACATGGACGTTGCGTATTCTATGGCTGTACCGATGTTTCGGCAATGTCATCTTCGATAGTTGGAGGCATGGTAAGTTTCATTACTCGTTGCAAAGGTCACACATCCCCCCCGCACCCCCCGATCACAAGCGTGAGATTATGGAAGACGGATAGAGGTCCGCGCTCCGATCGAGGCAAGTAAAACGATGGAAGACAAACCTCCGCCCGATCGCGGCGAGAAAATATTGAATCCTCCGGCGCAACCTCCCCTCCCCGGTGCATCGATAGTGAATCGATGCACCGGGGTCGGGGTATCAGGTCGATGCATCGATGTTTTGAATTCTGCTATCGTGACAGCCCTAGTTATAATTAAACAGGCATTACTTTTCAAACACTCCTCGTATTCATCCACCTTGGAATCACTGCCACCATTTGTGCTGGGGAAATGCATGGTCTGAAGTTTGTGTCCAGCCCTCTCCTCAAGAGACCAAGAAGGGTCTTCAATAGCTCGGGAAACATTCTCATGGACATAGAAGAAAAACACTCTGTCTACTGTGATAACCTTTTCAACTCGAGTCGCGAACTCTCCCATCTGATGACAAGATGAGAATACCCTTATCCAAGCACTTGGAAGAGCATTCTCGAAAGTAATCCAGAACCTGTGACATATATATCAATGATAGCCAGTGTAGTCACACATCCACTTCAGTGGTCATGAATACAAAGGTTTTTAACAATTGTAATGGTAAGAGTCAACAGCCCAGTTTATAATCCCAACTGGACCACATCCAGTTGGGAAAGAGCTAGAAAATATATACACAGGTTGTTTTACAATTGGAATTTTCCAAACCGAATGCAGCTGGTTTTCATAGCTATTTCCAGCTATAACTTTATACAAAGGACCCTCCTGCTGGAATACAGCTGAAAGTCAGCTGCTTCTGTAGATGGACCTCTGGTAAGAATAGCCAACAAATACTTTCTCATTCCACCAGTGATATTGCAACTAAGAACCAATCTGGATTAGACTACTTTCCAGCTGTTACCACATTGGAATGGGTCAGATTTTACAACTGGATGCAGCTGGAAAATATAGCTGTTTCCTGCTGGAATTTTAAGCTGGGAGGGAAAGGCTAAGTTGCACCATCGTAGAGACAGGGTGATCTGGATGACCATTGGCATGAGTACACTGTTACCATTACCATATGGTAAAAATTCTCAGAAGCACTATATGGAGATAATCATGATCATGTGCAGGAATTCAAAACCAAGACCAAGCGTACAAAAAGGATGAGTTCATTCAACCAACAATCAGGATTATATCTGGGGTGGGATGATACAAAACTAATCCCCTTTCTGTCTCAATTCATGGACAAATATGAAAAAGGAGAGCTGAATAAGACTTCAAGATCATTTCATGTGATAGTATCTAGTCCAAAGCAGCCAAATTGGACTCACTTCCTTTTTTCTAAGTCAACTGCTACTAGCAGAATGAGAATAATTTTATACAAAAATGGAAGGAAGAAATTAAATTGAGTCATCCAATGAGAGACTAGATTAATTCAAGAAGGTTACACTTTCTTAAAATGTCAAGCCTTTTGTCTTTCCTCCTCCAAATAAATAACCTTTTTCTTTTATATATTCTCTTCCTTCTTTCATGTGATATTCATAAGGATCACAGGATGCCATTCATATATAGAAAGTAGAACTGGCCAAGGTATGAGCGACAAAACGATCACCAAACTGAATGAGCAACAGCAAGATACCAAGCAATTCTGGTCTATCTTAGGCCTAAGTGTCATCCACTGGAGAAACAAATGAAGCAAAGGAAATAGATGAGACCAGGGAAGGACAATGTCTGAGGGAGAAACATCAATTCAATCACACACAAAGTCATCACAGGTGAAAAACCATTAGGGGGATCCAGTTCATCACACAGAATGATCACTCTTATGTCCCAGGCTCTCTGAATATGGAGGAGGTGGGCCCTTGGGATCATCCTTCATTGGTTGGTATCCCAGGACTGAAGGTGGATCCTCCATGTCATCCTGGTAAATAATAATCACAATGTACCTTCATTACAGGTAACCTGGCTGTTAACAGAAATGTAGCATTTTGGGACAAACCATGAGGGCATGAGTATCTTCTTCATTGAAGGAAGACCTCAGGGGCACAAAACGCTGAGACATGTGATCGGTAAACATGCGGAATCCTTGGAAAAGGAAGATGCGGATCAGGACTGCACACAAGATGATGAACAGGAACACAAGCACAGCCACCCTGCCAAAGTATCACAAAAGAATGTGACCTGCTGTGTCAAGTAAGACTGGAAAAAATTTGGCTTCACTGTCAGATGACACTCACACCCTACTGTGAGGTGGGAACCAGTGACCTTAGGAAGCTTCGAATAGTGTACCTACTTTTGTCATTATAGGAGTTAGAATAGAGATTGGCAATAAAACATTCCAGTGGTTAACACATCATTCTACCTTTCATGTTCAAGCTACATGCTCAAATTTTGATAGTCACAATCATTCACTTTGCAATGGCCCCAAGAAAGCATATTTGACTTGGCACGACCATTATATTCAAGCCTTTTTATCAAAGACAAAAATCTTGTTACATCAAATCTCTTTTTGATGGAAACCAACCTCATGAAACACTTTGCATTTTTGCCCCATTCGGTTTTTTGTATTAAATCTTACCAGGTAGCTTTCAATATTTTCATGCTCTCTGTACAGGTTAAAACCCTTATCCACTTTTAACTCATCAGTCTTCTTTTCAAAGCAGTAAAGTTGTGCACAGGGCATGCTCTATTTTATTTTCCTGAGCCATTGATATCTTATCTTATGATAAACTTATCCATTTTTACAAGACAAAGACAACCTATTCTAAATGTCACTGACCCATCCTTAAAGCAAGGAGACAGAGTCTTTCAATTATATTGAAATAGTCAATTTCATCAGAGAATTTTGAGCAATCAATGTGAAAAGGAAGGGCTACATGCAGCTTGAAGAGGCCCTCAGTTTTTTTTATATATTGAATTGGGATACCATTGATCTAGCAAACTTTCAGGTATATTGCTAGATTGATGTATGCTAGGGTGTAATCACTTGGATCCAGGAAGAAACTAACCCTGTGTCAAGGAGATTGAAAACATTGTCACAGCAGATGTTGTTGCCACAGCAATACTGGTCACCCCTGCAGAGATTGAAGGTGCAGTAATAGCCTTCCACCTAGTGACATACAAGGAAGTAAACATCCCATGACTTCAGGAAATGCTGTGACAAATCAGTCAGCTTCACATTGCCATTATTAGATACACAATCCATCTACTTTCATTCCAGCCAATGCTGTTTGGTCCCACCCTTGAGCTAGGATACATCTTCTGCACAGCAGAGAATACCATTCAGGTTCAGTTTGATATAAAAGGCAAGTTTTGGGTATCTTCTATAAAATGGTTGTTACATAGTTTTGCTTAACCTTTCAATTTGAGAAAATGGACACTTATAATGAAAAGTCTTTGTAATTGATTTTGCAGTATTGTTGGTTGTTTATACACATACCCATGCATATTGGCAATTTCCTAGGATGTTCCCCTTGAACAAAACTCACCTCAAAATGCATGACACATTTCTCTAGGACACTTTGCTAAGTAGGGTCTCAAAGTCTTTTTCTTTTCCACTAAAGGATCAATTCGTCAACAAGATAGATGCTATTGCTCTTTGGTCAGTCTCCCAAGCAAAGAATACACTGAAATATTGTTTCTTGTATGATGCTTGAAAAAAAGTGCAATCATCTTGACTAAGAAGTAGAGAATGTGATGAGAAAAAGAACTTAGCATTTGAGGCCACCCTTTTCTTCTAATGATACAAAATTAACAAGTCAGTTATTTTCTCTTGTGTAGGAATTCATTCCAAACAGAGGACAATACTTTTGAGAGGCAGTACAGTAAGCTTAACACTTGCAAGTGCACAATACAAGCAAACCCATGGAAGAAGATCCCATTCTCTGTTATCTTGTTAGAAGCAACATTTTTCCCATTTGCTTTCATACATCCAGGTCTCATATTTTACAACTATGAGGGGATTAATACCAAGTATTGGATGAGGTACCATCAATTTACCAGTAAGGCAGACCATGGAGGTCAATAAAATAAGAGAATACCAATTTTATAATATTTTATGTGCATCAGAAGACTAGGTGTAGATAGAGTAGCTGGTATCCAAATCATAGCTGATCTTGGCCTCTTAAGAGTCATATTCCTGTACTTAATCCAGTTTTTCATCCTGGCATGAAGCTACCAAATACAACCAAGTTAATCCTATTGGGTCTATGAGCTTAGAACTACTGGGTAATCCAAAGAAAAGAAAACTCACTTTCAATACGCCTAACTTTGTTTCTTGAATTGTGAGAGTTTATGGGTGAGAGAGCATTACTTTATAATGGAAAGCTAAAAGTTTTCATCAGTATGATTCCTGCAACCCAAATAAATAAAACATGGATGCCTATGAATTAAAAATGAAAAAGTGCTTTCACCACAGGTTGGCTAAGATGTAGCCCCAGTTAGTGTCCCTTGAGAGTCTGAGATGGGGACACAAACACACATAGAGCTGCCTCTTTCAGGGTTCCATGTGCAATCCCAGTAATTGAAAGAAGACAGTTGAAGAATGGTAGATGGAAAAATAGATGCTTCATGACATTCTTGTAAGTTTGGAATGGAAGTAGAACCTCTAATGTCTTTTTAATTTAAATTTCACCTACTGTAGAATGAAGGAGAGAAGAGGAAACTCCACTGACCTAGTCTCTTGGGGGAAGTTTAAATGCATGAACATGTACAGCTTGTACCCCAGCTCCCTACATCCATCAGTGACTTAGGATTAAGTTAAAGAGCAAAGATTGGTGTCTCATGATCTACAACATACCCACGCCCATAAAATGATTAATTCAAGGCAAGGTGGATACCGCCATGAAGAATGAAGGAGATGATGTACTTTCTAGTAACCCCTCCATTTTCCTTCAATTCCACGGAATGTTTTATTAACAGCAAGTATTTGTCACTTGTCTCATTCTAGACTCTCCATCCCCCTACTTGGTGCCGTTCAAACTTAATGTGAAAGCAACGTTTGAAATGAAGTTGTATGCGCGTTTCTGGGAATCATGAGGTGCTTCCAGTGCATATAAAAAGAGAAAACACCTACCCTTGTTTCTAGAGGTGACGTTTCTATAGGTAAGTTTCGATCATCGCCATGAACGCATGGCGATGATCGAAACTTACTTATTCCAAACCTTACATATTCCAAAATCTAAGTTGAGTTGAATTGATAGAATAAATTGTTTTAAATATTTATAGGCCTAAAAGCACATGTTATGAACTCAATGGGTCTTACGGGGATGAGAATAAAGGCGAAACAGAAGAGAATGTAGCTGATAGGGACAGCACGATGTTCCCAGGGGACCGCCATCTTTCCTGCGGCTGGATACTGGCAAGGTTCTACTTCGGATTCGCGATGGGGGCAGTGATCTGTCTTTGTTTTCTGGTCATGGATATTCCTTATGACTAGGGGGTTTCCATGCTGTCCAAGCAAGCGAAACATGAAGTTTTCACAATAAAAATATATGCCTTAAAAGCGTCGCAGATGTTCCTCCAGTTTTATTCCACTTGTCGGGAACTTTCAAAACAAGCAATGACACAATGACATTCCAGCATTTCCTCGAAATGGATTGACTGTCATGCTGGGCATGTAGCTTTCTTGCCAGAGAATCCGGGCTTTAAATCACCGTTGAAGCAAGCTAGTCGTGTGAATAAAATATCGGTTTTCCAAAAGTCCAATTAAATTCAGTCACGGTCGTTTCAATTTCGACAGGAAATATCCTCGCTTCCGACTAACTGCTTCAATTTCGACCGGCCGAGTCAACGAAGGGCGTGACGTAGCAAGGAGGTGGGGGGGAGGGGGGGCTTCAGCCCCCCACCCCGGGCGAGGAGAAGCCCCTCCATCGTTCCACTTAGCCCCCACATTGGCGAAATCCTGACCACGCCACTGCGAAGACGTAGCATTAATGTCAATGCTTGAGATTTTCCTTTGTAGTGAAGCAAACATGCAGATGGAACTCGCTGCGATCGACACCCGGATGATGTGGAGCCACTAGAACCACTTCGTTTCACGAAGTAGTTCAAGCAAATGTGAAACAAGACAGTATCAAGGTAAGTACTCTACTGGTAAAACATGCCACACCTTGACCTATATTCGGAATTGAGATTACTACAAAGCAGGAACAAGTCTCAAATCTGACGTTTCGGAAGTTCTTGATGATGCGCCACAGATATGTCACGGTTTCCCCATTCTTCAAGTTTGATGGATAGAACGCACTTACAACTACAGGGTGTCCCATAAGTCACTATACCATTTCAAACTGCAATATCTTCCAAACTGCAACAACCAGGTCACTGTTGTTAGCATTGAAGGAAAGAAAGTTCCTTATAATTTTTCCCCGCAATAATGACTTGGAATCAAACTCAAGCAGAAATCGCTTCAAAAGCATATTAGAAAGGTGTACATCTTTAGGGCGAATTATGGTACACCTTGTTGAATTCGCTTCTACAAAATTCCTAAATGTCTTATTTTCCTCTCCTAATTTCAGAGAGGCTTTAGAAACTGAAAAAAAAATCATTTTGACTAATTTGCTTTCGCTGTCATGAGAAAAGGCTTCAACAGTTGACGCTTGAGCAACGAAGGAAAGTTGCCATCTGGGGGGAGGTTCTTGAGAGTCCTATCAGAGTTCAAAGGGAGTTCCGGCAATATTCTCAGCCTCGTGCCAAATGTATTGACATAGGCGGAGGGCATTTTGAGGCACTTTCAAAACTCAAAAACGCCTCCATTTTTGACAAAGATACAGTAATTCCAATTGTCTTGCTAGCGTTCAGTTAATGCTACTTCTTATTTGTGCCAACTGCCTAGTAGATGTGAATTTTTTAAAATGGTATAGTGATTTATGGGACACCCTGTAGAATGGTTTTCATATCCGGATTCGTTTTCACTATAGGGGGAATGATTGAATAGCTGAAATGGAAATCGGTCTATCAGCAAAATAGGTCAGAAACGGAAAACTAGTCCATGTACATAGACTAACCCTTACAAATGATGACAGCCGATTGTTTCCTCGGGCAGATCGGTTTTCCATACAGTCCTTCACGAAGGGCTGAAAATTCTGTTCAGTGATTCCGAGGAAGGCCAGAGCCTGTGATACATACATGATGCTCTCCATTCCCAGAAACCAACTCGTAACACTGGAAAATTCGCGTCTTTCATGCATGCTCTGCGCACTGCGCTCTGTCACCAAAACGGGAGACTTTCCGGAGCAGCTGAAATCGAAAGGAACGGTGCCAAAATTGAAAGTACTTTCGCCGAAATTGAATGAGAAGAGCGAGTACCGGAAAGAGCACTACCGAAATCGAAAGGACTGATGCCGAATTTGAAAGGGCTCGTGGCGAACATTGTCGAGAAAACCTATATTAGTTTTCGTAAATTGTGCGGTAGACTGACAATGTTCATATCTCGAGAACATCCCCGGCAAACTGGTACAGAAGTGCGATTTTCCAGTTTCCAAACAAGTACCAAAGAGTTTCTTTTCCTTTGCGCTTCAAAGAAACACTTGCGGTTGTGAAATAAGCTCTAAAATGGATATACAGTATTTGCACTGGATATTATTCCACGTCAGAACCTGCATAGTATGCAAATCATGCAGGATAAAACAGCAACTTTCGATTTTTCTCATCGAGTTGGAGGTTCATCCCAAGGGATTTGAAAATGAATGAAAAAACCCAGTTTAAAATCCCGGCTGGAAACAGCTATAATTTCCAGCTGGACTCCAGCTGTAAATTTCGGACCCTTTCCAACTGGGTAACAGCTGGAAAGTAGTCATCTTCAGATTTCTTCCTAATTGCTGTATCACTAGCCGAATGAGAATCTTTTTGCTGACTATTTTTATGAGGTCAATCTACAGGAACAGCTTATTTTCAACTGTAAATTTAGCTACACTCCACTGTAGGGTCCTCTTGATAAGATTCCAACTGGAAATTTTCCAGCTGGAAACAGCTATTCAAATAAGCTGCATTCCAGTTGGAAATTTCCAGCTAAGAAACAACTGGTACCTACTATTTTCCAACTCTTTTCCAGCTGGAAATGGTCCGAATTTACAGATTTGGTCCTGCTGGAATATTCCAGTTGGGATTTTAAACTGGGAATACACACATACGTGCGACTGGATCGATTCATATACATTATGGACCAAACTGACAGCCCGTTTTTTTAAATCGTATTCAAAGATACAGGGTATGGCAAAAAAGACCAACAACTCTTGACCCCAATGTCTCCATATGCACTAGAGCTATTTCCGTGAACCTTCACTTTGCATATACCTAGTTCTGCCATAAATACTGTTACAAGATTTACATGTTCCTTGCATTCTAGCAAAATAAGCTAGAATATTGTAACCTAGTAATCCTGCAGTGTATTATCCACCGTATTGTTTGATAACATTTTGGCTGTTTTGTTGCACGCAGTAAACATGGAGTGGGGTGACAAAGAGAATCGCATATCATTGATTGCCCTGCACGATGGGGGTCAGAAACCTGCAACAATTTTTAAGCTTTTGCAGCCTCTTGGAATCAGTCGGCAGTTTGTTTACCGAGCTATCAAACGTTACAATGATACTCAGGGAGTACGAGACCGCCCTAGAACTGGACGTCCACGCACTGCCAGAACCCCACGAGTCATCAAAGCAGTTAGCAACAGGATTCGGCGAAATCCTCTCCGCAAGCAGAAAGAGATGGCCAGGGAAATGGCCATCTCGACTAGGAGCATGTCTCGGTTGATTAAATCAGACCTAAGGATGGGTGCTTACCGAAGAAGCACAGGACACATGCTGACTCCATCCCTGAAAGAAATCAGGTCACGATCGAAAGTGTTGCTGCAGAGGTACGCGCAAAACAGACATCGCAAAATCCTCTTTACTGATGAGAAAATCTTTACAATTGAAGAAAATTTCAATCGGCAAAATGACGCAAGTGTATGCCCACAACTCTCGGTAAGCTGCAGAAGTCATCCATAAGGTGGAGAGAGGTCACCATCCTGCTTCCGTCTTGGTTTGGTGGGGGTGAGTTATGAGGGTGTCACCAAGCTGCATTTTTGCGAGCAAGGAGTGAAGACATCGGCCAAGGTGTACCAGGAAGACGTCATAGAGAAGACAGTGAAGCCTCTCGGCCAAACGATGTTCAATGGGGGCAACTGGATCTTCCAGCAAGGCTCTGCACCTGCTCACAAAGCTAAGACAACGCAGGAGTGGCTAACCAACAATGTTCCCGAATTCATCAAGGTCTCAGATTGGCCATCTTGGAGCCCCAACTTGAACCCAATGGACTACAAACTGTGGGCAGATTTGGAGCTGATGAACAGAAGACATCCAAATATTGAAAGTCTCAAGCGAACCCTTGCAAAATCAGCAGCCAATGCCTCAATGGACGTGGTGCGTACTGCGAACCACGAGTGGCCTGATCGTTTAAAGTCATGTGTGAAGGTCAGGGGTGGACATTTTGAACAATGTTTGAATGTTGGTTATGCAGGAAATAAATGCTGTTAGCGAATACAGCGTATGTTTTATATTAACTGAGTTATTACAAAAAACCATGTAACAGTATTTATGGCAGGACTAGGTATGTTTCCAACTGATTCCAAAAATTTCATCAGAATTCAGCGGGCAGGTGGTAATATCAGCAATTATTGAAAGGAAGTTAGGTATAGAGAATGGACAAGAGCTCCTGCTGGTAGTGGAGAGGAGAAAACCTTGACCGCTATCCTTTCTCGTCATCAATAGCGTGTTAAACTCTTCTTCCGTTTAAATATAATTTTTTAGGCTGATCGTCTCTTGCAGATGGTTTTCATGAGCTTATTCCCAATGAATAGCAGATGAGTGATGAATGATGAGATTGAGTATCAATCCAGAGTTTTCCCAAAGTTTATCCTGAATTTCCCTTGGTTTACGGAGAACATGACAGACAAGGGGCGCGTCTTTTTTGCTAGCAGCTCCGCTAGCTCTGCTGAGACCTCGACCAGCATCCGATGAAGTCAATTTAAGACTTAGTTGCTCAGCGTTCTCGTAGTTCGCTATGTTCCGCTGGCAGCTGCTTGCCCAATAGTGACGTCATTCAATGACGTGGTCGTGCCTAGCCAACGCGTCTTTTTCACCAGCAGCTGCTAGCGGCTGGAGAATAAGACACGCCCAAGGATTTAAGGACATGACAAAGAAGACATGTGACGTCGAGAAAACTCTCTGATACTCATTGACTCATCGGCAATTCATTGGGAATATGCTCATGAGAACCATCTACAAGAGATGATACCAGGCTAAGAATGAATTTAAATGGGAGTTCGACGTGGCCTATATATATATTGCGAATGCATATAGGACTAGAAAAATATAGCACAATCAAGGCAAGACAGATACAAAGGGCACAAAAAGTGAGACACAGAAAAACACAAGGACGGGTCAGCAATTGGCACGAAGCCAGGCGATTGCTTCAGGGTCCGCACTGTGCAGTTTCGTAAGGCCACCAAGAAGGCCTAAATACAGCACAATCAAGGCAAGACAGATACAAAGGGCACAAAAAGTGAGACACAGAAAAACACAAGGACGGGTCAGCAATTGGCACGAAGCCAGGCGATTGCTTCAGGGTCCGCACTGTGCAGTTTCGTAAGGCCACCAGGAAGGCCCTCACGGACTGCTGTTGGCCGGTCATATACCCGTCCCAGGAGCTGGCGTGGTGTCGTCGTCACACCCAACAGTGCCTCCGGGGTGAACATCAGACACAGGCGCGTTGCCCAGCATAGCGAGCGAAAACGGTTGATGTTGATCCATAGGTGTCGAGGTAGGGTAAACCCAGGAACGCGGTCCTCCGGGTTGGTGATCAGGTAGGAGTTCTTGGGGCTGGCTCTTTCCCATTCTGAGCGCCATCTGTCAGCAGTGGAGGGAGCCGTTGAGAGTTCCTGGATGTAGTGCTTCGTCCAGATGGGATGTCTAGAGGTCAATTTTGGCTCTACAACTTTGGCAACGTGAGTCAGAAGCGTCTTGAGTCACACACGATGTTAAATTCTCTCTCTACATTGATTTGGCGTGTTAGTTAGTAAAAAATGCAAAATAGCGCTGCTGAACGGCAGAAATGAAGGAAGAAATGCTGAAGCAAAAAGGGAAGAATGATGAATGTATGATGAGAACAAGACCACAGTCATCGAAGCAGTTCCAACTTCGCTCCAGACGCTCAAAAATTAGTATTGTGGCAGTAGTACCTCGTATGTACAGGGTTAGCCAAAAAAGAATTGGCGGCTCGAAAATTTTCAATAAAATCCATATTTTTGAACGGATTGACTTCAAAATTTAATGGAACGAATCCAAATAAATTCCTCAGGGATTTAAAAATGCCATGTGTCTGGGACTTCCTATTCTTTAGTTAAGGCAGATTTCGTTGAAATTGCCAACATTTTGTGTTAACAGGCTAACAGGTTAACTGCCGCTGTGAAGCATGAATCCACATTTGTATTGGAATTCATGAAATTTATGCAAAAGCAATACATTTTCAGATAGTGAAAAACGCAATTTTGTCGACATCCTGTAAAATGTTCACTATGATCTAGAAACTGAATTTTAAAAATAAGATTCAAATGTGGATTCGAGCCTCGCAATAGCAGTAGCAATCCTTTTGACTCCGCATTTTATTCATTTCAACAAAAGCAGCTGTAACTCAAGAATGGAAATTTTGACACGTGACACTTCAACACATATTGAAGAACATGCTGGCAACGTTTCTTTAAATTTTGAGGTCAATCTATTCCGAAATATGGGTTTTATTGTAGAGTTTCGAGAAGCTTATTTTTTTTGGTCAACTATTTAGTTGCATTATATGATAATTTCATTGAACTTCCCATCTTGCTTCTACTTTTCTCTCCTTCGTTTCTTTCTTTCAGTAGCACTTGATTGCATTATTTTATTCACGTAGAAAAAAAAATCAATGTAGAGAAAGAAAACGATCACTATGTGACTCGTGCCCTTCGTGACTCAAGTTACAAAAGTTGCGCAGCCAATGGATAGTGCACTGAAGCAGTCCATGGTCCATGGCCTATTTTGATTGATCGGATTATTAGGAACCAGAAGCATTTGCTTGCGAAAGCAAAGACAGAGTAGTGGCAATCAAAATGACAATTTTCGTTACTCAT